TCTCTCCGTTGCCTTTTATTTTAATCTGTAAAACATAATAATACCACAACAGCAATAGGACGCCAAGCAGTGTAGGTTAGCAGATGGTGGAGTCATTCCACAGATGACATCCTCACCTTTTCAGCTAGACAACGGGGTTACCAATTTGGTAATGTTGATAAGAATCATGGTTCCAAACTCATGAAGGTACAAGTACATTTACAGCCACTTATAGGATGTCGAAAGTTATTATACACTGATCTTTTTCACTGAGGGAAGTGTGTTGCATTGCACGATATTTAAATTCAAGAATGCTATTCAGATAGATGCTGTTGCCTCGCATTTAGGACAATCGGCTTCAACTTGTCTTATTAATAACAGACTGAATTTGTGATGGCATAATAATCAGAATGAACTGTAAATAGCAATCTATGATATACATTACCGGGAGATGCTTTTCTCGAGGATCTCCCAAAATCTCATCCTCTATGATATGTAATTAAATCACATGGAACGCAAGAGTCCTGCAATTGGTGTTCAAATACACTTGCTCTTGGTTCTGTGAGTGATATTGAGTTTCACTTTGTCATAGTCTTGTGAGTGATATTGAGTTTCACTTTGTCATAGTCTTGTGAGTGATATTGAGTTTCACTTTGTCATAGTCTTGTGAGTGATATTGAGTTTCACTTTGTCATAGTCTTGTGAGTGATATTGAGTTTCACTTTGTCATAGTCTTGTGAGTGATATTGAGTTTCACTTTGTCATAGTCTTGTGAGTGATATTGAGTTTCACTTGTGTCACTTTGTCATAGTCCTTGTGTGAGTGATATTGAGTTTCACTTTGTCATAGTCCTGTGAATGATATTGAGTTTCACTTTGTCATAGTCCTGTGAATGATATTGACTTTCACTTTGTCATAGTCCTGTGAATGATATTGACTTTCACTTTGTCATAGTCCTGTGAATGATATTGACTTTCACTTTGTCATAGTCCTGTGAATGATATTGAGTTTCACTTTGTCATAGTCCTGTGAATGATATTGACTTTCACTTTGTCATAGTCCTGTGAATGATATTGAGTTTCACTTTGTCATAGTCTTGTGAATGATATTGAGTTTCACTTTGTCATAGTCCTGTGAATGATATTGAGTTTGCCGTGGTTCTGTGACGCTGCACATTTTTCTTAGTCCGGTGAGTGATAAATTTCACTTTGTCATGGTCGTATAATTCCAATAACTACCACTTGGGAACAAAAGGACCTACACACAATTGGTAGTTCTTTCATCTTCACGACCTAAATCTAGGTCTGATGCAATACCCTTAAGTGGCAGTGTGGTGTATATGATAACCTGTATTCTGTACAAAGGAAATCGAAGAATGCACACCCATGACCCCATGCAACACGCAATTCAACATATAATTTCAAAAGAGATTCTGCTAGGGGCACTGCACAATTTCCACAAGATCGATGTCACATGATTAGAAGCTACAAGCTATGGCTCAACATGATGACATGTTCTGAAGACATTTTGTAAAACTCCTGCATGTATCGTCTACAATCAATCAACTATCTTCTAGATTGTCTGTTAGGTGTTAAGCAATGAATTCCTGACATTAAAGGCCGTGCAAATCCGGGTTAGAATTAGTCTTCCGTAATCCATGAATTTCGGAAGAGGCGACTAATGCGCTCGCTCACTTGTTTGACACATGTCATCGTATCCCAATAGTAGATCGATGCTCATGCTGTTGATCATTGGATTGTCTGGTCCAGACTCGATTATTTACAGGCCGCCGCCATATAGCTGGAATATTGCTTACAGAACAACCTAAACCCAACCCCCTGACATTAAAACTATAGTTTAGGCTCGTCCTACTGACAAACTGGTTGCACATATCCTTCATTCCGATGATATGGTCTGTACAGAAATACACTTTCCTGCATGTTCAAGAGGCCATGCCAAGTTTATTTCTTAGGCCAGCGTATAAAACTGTACATAATAAATGTACAGAAGATGCATAGTTAGCGTAACAAAACGAGACAAAAGGACTTCACAAAACACAAACCAACCCATGTAACCCAAGACCATGCTGAATAACAATTAATTACTCACTCCATTTCTTCTACGTTCTTTCGTTCTCTGGAAATGTGTACAAAATATTTCTTTGGAGAAAATTAAATATAATTATAGTAGAATAATGAGCGTAATTTACCAGGCCTATAACATCTATATATAGAGAGATGTGGTTACTTTTAGAAACATGTACCAACGGCTCGGCGTATACCGATGATCAGAGATTCGGTTGATATTCCCTAAATTGAACAAAACACGAGTGATCTGTTTTTATTTATCATTGCCATATTACCAAAGAGACAAATACAGCAACATTACCACGAGAAACTTGTCGAACTCTCACGTATACATCGTACTCAGCGATATGTGCTTTCCATTGCCATGTGAACCAAGTCGACATCCTGTTAACTGCTGTTTAGCATATTCATTCACAGAGACAATTTCCCGGGACTTTATAAAAGCATTCTTGAGTTTGGCAGAATAACTAACGGTAACAATACCGAATCTATATCAGTTAAGTATATATCTTGCATAGTTTCGCTAATATTTCGACTTCTCACTTGAAGATCCGACACAAAACGTTATACTTGTACATGCCTATCATTGTTGTTCTTAATGGTGTAGTTACCTATGTACCTGCCTCTCATTGTTGTACTTAATGGTGTAGTTACCTATGTACCTGCCACTCATTGTTGTATTTAACTGTGTAGTTACCTATGTACCTGCCACTCATTGTTGTATTTAACTGTGTAGCTACCTATGTACCTGCCTCTCATTGTTGTACTTAACTGTGTAGTTACCTATGTACCTGCCACTCATTGTTGTATTTAACTGTGTAGTTACCTATGTACCTGCCACTCGCTGTTCTTCAATGGTGTAGTTACCTATGTACCTGCCACTCATTGTTGTACTTAACTGTGTAGTTACCTATGTACCTGCCTCTCATTGTTGTACTTAATGGTGTAGCTACCTATGTACCTGCCTCTCATTGTTGTACTTAACTGTGTAGTTACCTATGTACCTGCCACTTGCTGTTCTTCAATGGTGTAGTTACCTATGTACCTGCCTCTCATTGTTGTACTTAATGGTGTAGTTACCTATGTACCTGCCTCTCATTGTTGTACTTAATGGTGTAGCTACCTATGTACCTGCCTCTCATTGTTGTTCTTAATGGTGTAGTTACCTATGTACCTGCCTCTCATTGTTGTATTTAACTGTGTAGTTACCTATGTACCTGCCACTCATTGTTGTATTTAACTGTGTAGTTACCTATGTACCTGCCTCTCATTGTTGTACTTAACTGTGTAGTCACCTATGTACCTGCCACTCATTGTTGTATTTAACTGTGTAGTTACCTATGTACCTGCCTCTCATTGTTGTTCTTAATGGTGTAGTTACCTATGTACCTGCCTCTCATTGTTGTACTTAATGGTGTAGTTACCTATGTACCTGCCTCTCATTGTTGTTCTTAATGGTGTAGTTACCTATGTACCTGCCTCTCATTGTTGTATTTAACTGTGTAGTTACCTATGTACCTGCCTCTCATTGTTGTACTTAATGGTGTAGTTACCTATGTACCTGCCTCTCATTGTTGTATTTAACTGTGTAGTTACCTATGTACCTGCCTCTCATTGTTGTATTTAACTGTGTAGTCACCTATGTACCTGTCACTCATTGTTGTACTTAACTGTGTAGTCACCTATGTACCTGCGTCTCATTGTTGTATTTAACTGTGTAGTCACCTATGTACCTGTCACTCATTGTTGTACTTAACTGTGTAGTTACCTATGTACCTGCCACTCGCTGTTCCTCAATGGTGTAGTTACCTATGTACCTGCCTCTCATTGTTGTATTTAACTGTGTAGTCACCTATGTACCTGTCACTCATTGTTGTACTTAACTGTGAAGTCACCTATGTACCTGCGTCTCATTGTTGTATTTAACTGTGTAGTCACCTATGTACCTGTCACTCATTGTTGTACTTAACTGTGTAGTTACCTATGTACCTGCCACTCATTGTTGTACTTAATGGTGTAGTTACCTATGTACCTGCCTCTCGTTGTTGTACTTAATGGTGTAGTTACCTATGTACCAGCCTCTCCTTATACTTTATGGTGTGGGTTACCTATGTACCAACCATTTGTTGTTGCACTTAATTATGTGGTTTACGTAGATAACAGCAAGTCATGACGTATACTACTGATATACAGATAACCTACACCGTGAAATACAACAATGAGTAGCAGGTACATCGATTAATTACAAACACTGTTTACATAGTTACCAATAGCGGTGCCTTCTTTGCCTTCTGTCTCTCTGATGCATCCTACATAGCCTGGCTCCGGCATCTCTAGGGGTAGACTCTGTTGATGTAGTGCTGTGGGTTCATCACAACACCTTCATTGTGTCGGGTCTCCTTGAATATTGAGTTGCTGCACTCCCGCTTCAACTGGCATGTTGTTGAAGCGGCCTTAAATAAAACTCTGCCACTCACTCCTAATGTTACACATGCATCGTTAAGCTGAGCCGAGAAAAACTCATTGTGATGTCAACGTCTAACAATTGATTCAATGAATTATGTATTACACCTCTTAATCAACAATGTGTAGGCCCGTGTGCATTATAATCATATGGTTGAATACAATCTACTCACTAGAACAAGTGACAGTCCAAAAGGTGTCGATGAAACATACAATGCCCACCATATTTACTAACCTAATGCAAAAATTATTCGAGCTATTGTTTTTGTGAGCAGGGGCATGTCGTTTAGCTCCACATAAGACAGTTTTCTTGGTTCGCTGTAAAACACATTTGATCAACGACAGAGAAGCGCTCTCATTTCTCTCACAATAGTGAAAATTGATTGGCTTGTCGACAGATCAGTGTGGAGGCTGCTGCGCCTGGCGACACGTGATACCCGTTCTTCAACAACACACACCGTGGTGAGCAGATAGGGTAGGCTACAGGGTAAGCCCGAGTACCCGTACTGAAGGGTTCATTTCAACAGTCTCCATAGTCTTATTCCATTGCAAGTTTGTGAACGCATGAGTTCAGAGTAGCTCTCGCCAAGCTGGTCTACATTAATCATCAGTTTAACACAATGGATAAAGTTGTGCTCAACGTCTCAGGAAAGAAGTTTGTGACATTTTGGAAAACTCTAAAAAAGTTCCCAAATACCAGACTAGGGAGGCTGTCAAAGACATCCGCAAACTATGAATCTGCCTCTGACGAGTTCTTCTTTGACAGGAACCCAAAGGTGATGACGGTCGTACTGGACATGTATCGGGGAGGCGAACTACACATCCCCTCCAATGTTTGTAGTGCCTGTGTCAGACAGGAACTTAAGTTCTGGGAAATCCCAGAAGATCTGATTTCTGAATGTTGTTGGAAGAGGTATGCGAACGGCAAAGAAGACAAGGCCATAGTGGACATTATTGAGAATTTTATGGGTGTTGTCCCCGAGTTTACTGACAAGGAACATGACAACTGGAGGAAAAGGATCTCCAACACGCTGGAATATCCTACATATTCCCGGGTTGCTATGGTAACTTACTTATCACATCATGTCCTTGTTTAATTATCGCCATGATATTACATGCATACATGAGAAAGACACGCTGTGAGCCATCAACTCTTTCTTCAGTCTTTCTATCTATCTATCTATCCATTACGGCATCAAATAAACGTTTTCGCGCGCTGGAGTGTGTGCGTGTGCGTGTGCGTGCGTGTGTTGAATCCGGCTTGCTACCATTGTGTTACGGCTATATTTAGACTGAAATCCTGTACCAAGCACCGTACGGCTTTACGAGTATACTAGGCTCTCTTCAATCATGTAATGACTATTGAGATGTAAATCGATAACATCCTGCTGATATATATAATTACTCTCTTGCTTCCAGGTGATTGTTTCCATGTGATTGTTTCATATGACAATGCTTGTAACTGTAAAGATCTTACATTTCTTTATTGCCACAAAACACGGGTTAAACTTGTCCTTAGGTCTAAACATTTTTACCCAGCCTGATGTACTTGATAGTGTTGGTGGTGGTGCATAGGGGACAGACATCTTCATGTGTTTGGTGATGTTCATGTTAGCGATGTTGTTGGCGATGCTGATGTCGATAGAAAGAATGGTGTTGGTGATTTTGATTATGAGGAAGATGGTGGTAATAGATAGCTTTGATGATGTTGATGTGAGGAATACCTTGATGATGTATATAGGGAAGGTAGCGTTGATGATGCTGATGTGAGCATAGTGTTGATGGTGTACATGGAGAAGATAGCGTTGATGATCATGTTGATAGATGAGGCAGCGTTATGAAGAATAGATAGCGTCGAACAACAAATCTTTTAAAACCTCTATTAAAGTCCTTTGTGAATCTGCCACCAAGGCCATGTATTTCGTGCTGCGTAAAAGTCGAATCTTTAACCAGTCAATAAAATGCCAATTATATCTCTTTGATGCCATGGTTAAACTAGTTCTGTTAAATGGCTGCGAAATCTAGGGTTTTGAAAACTGTAATCGAATCTGTTCCAGTTAACTTTTTACGCAAATTACTTTCCGTTAAGAGAAGCAAGCCACTATACATGTTATATGAGAAGGGTACCCCTAATTAACTCTATCAAATATCGTACGGTGCATTTCTGGGCTAAATTCCCATCTGGCAAAGAACAAAGATGTGAAGAATTCTATACCCAATGTGATATAATGAAGCTTGTATAAACAATAGATGTCAAGAATTCTATACCCAATGTGATATACTGAAGCTTGTATAAACAATAGCAATAATAATGGATAAATCTGTGGAAGCCGTTTTTTATTTAACCGGCTATAACTTTCACTGTCTTTCAGAGAATGCGAATTTATCATTTTCAAATCTGAACTTGTCCTTGAATTATTTGACATGTATCCCTTTCTCCTTGGTTCTTAAATTCCTCTTGTTTAGAACTTCCTGTCATCGTTTACCTATAGAAGTAGGTAGGTGGCACAAAATTGCCACATGCAACTAATTGCCAAATGGAATGTTGGCAATGAATTTCATTACATTTTCTCGGCCCCTTCTTTAAGCGCTGTCGAAAAACATATATCCCCAAACCATTGTGTTATAAAACCTAAACGTGTTACAATTGAAAGAATTATTTAACTGTAAACAAAGAAATCTTTTTAAAAAACTATGTACAGTTTGTCATCATGAAAACTTTCCAATCTTCAATGTAAACCATTCCGCTATCCTATGTATTCCTAAATGTATATTTGTACCTCTTTAGCCGAGTATCCCAGCCTGAGTGCAGTAAAATGGAGACAAATTAATAGCGTTGCTGATGTTCATGTGAGTGAGTATTGCTTTACGCCGCTTTTAGCAATATTCCAGCAATATCACAACGGGGGACACCTGAAAGGGTTTTCACACATTGTGCCCGTGTGGGAAGTCAAACTCGGATCTTCGGCGTGACGAGCGAACGTTTTAACCACTTGGCTACACCACCGCCCCATGTTGATGTGAGGATTGCATTTATGGTATATGTGGAGAAAATAGCGTTGATGATGATAATATATAGGGCAAGAAGTCTATGGATGTCAACTTCACTATTTTAAGAAACAACGACATTTCGTAGTATACTCTTTTATGTGGAGAAGATGGTGCTGGGGATGTTGATGTACAGATGATGTTGTTCAGTCTGAATATACTGCTGTTATGTTGATCGTGAGGATATAGTGTTGATGATGGGGAAGATAGCGTTGGTGATGTCGATGAGGACGGTGTTGGTGATGTTGATGATGAGGACAGCGCTTAGGTGTATATGGAGAAGGTGTTGGTGATGTTCACGGCGAGGACAACGTTTAGGTGTATATGGAGAAGGTGTTGGTGATGTTCACGGCGAGGACAACGTTTAGGTGTATATGGAGAAGGTGTTGGTGATGTTCACGGCGAGGACAACGTTTAGGTGTGTATGGAGAAGGTGTTGGTGATGTTCACGGCGAGGACAGCGTTTAGGTGTATATGGAGAAGGTGTTGGTGATGTTCACGGCGAGGACAACGTTTAGGTGTGTATGGAGAAGGTGTTAGTGATGTTCATGGCGAGGACAGCGTTTAGGTGTATATGGAGAAGGTGTTGGTGATGTTCACGGCGAGGACAATGTTTAGGTCTGTATGGAGAAGGTGTTAGTGATGTTCATGGCGAGGACAGCGTTTAGGTGTATATGGAGAAGGTGTTGGTGATGTTCATGGCGAGGACAGCGTTTAGGTGTATATGGAGAAGGTGTTGGTGATGTTCACGGCGAGGACAGCGTTTAGGTGTATATGGAGAAGGTGTTGGTGATGTTCACGGCGAGGACAGCGTTTAGGCGGTATATGGAGAAGGTGTTAGTGATGTTCACGGCGAGGACAGCGTTTAGGTGTATATATGGAGGTGTTAGTGTTCACGGCGAGGACAACGTGATGTTGATGGCGAGGATAGTGTTTATGTGTATATGGAGGTGTTGGTGATGTTCACGGCGAAGACGGTGTTGGTGATGTTGATGATGAGGACAGCGTTTAGGTGTATATGGAGAAGGTGTTGGTGATGTTGACGGCGAGGACAGCGTTTAGGCGGTATGGAGAAGGTGTTAGTGATGTTCATGGCGAGGACAGCGTTTAGGTGTATATGGAGAAGGTGTTGGTGATGTTCACGGCGAGGACAGCGTTTAGGTCTGTATGGAGAAGGTGTTAGTGATGTTCAGGCGAGGACAGCGTTTAGGTGTGTATGGAGAAGGTGTTGAGTGATGTTCATGGCGGGAGGATATGGAGAAGGTGTTGGTGATGTTCACGCGTTTAGGTGTAGGAGAAGGTGTTGGTGATGGAGGCGAGGACACAGCGTTTAGGCGGTATGGAGAAGGTGTTAGTGATGTTCACGGCGAGGACAGCGTTTAGGTGTATATGGAGGAAGGTGTTGGTGATGTTCAGGCGGCGAGGACAGCGTTTAGGTGTGTATGGAGAAGGTGTTGGTGATGGTGTTCACGGCGAGGACAGCGTTTATGGAGAAGGTGTTGGTATGGAGGACAGCGTTTAGGTGTGTATGGAGAAGGTGTTGGTGATGTTCACGGCGAGGACAGCGTTTAGGTGTATATGGAGAAGGTGTTAGTGATGTTCATGGGCGAGGACAGCGTTTAGGTGAGTATGTGTATATGGAGAAGGTGTTGGTGATGTTCGGGGCGAGGACAGCGTTTAGGTGTATATGGAGAAGGTGTTGGTGATGTCCACGGCGAGGACAGCGTTTAGGTGTATATGGAGAAGGTGTTGGTGATGTTCACGGCGAGGACAACGTTTAGGTGTATGTTTTGAGAAGGTGTTGGTAATGTTCACGACGAGGACAGCGTTTAGGTGTATATGGAGAAGGTGTTGGTGATGTTCACGGCGAGGACAACGTTTAGGTGTATATGGAGAAGGTGTTGGTGATGTTCACGGCGAGAACAACGTTTAGGTGTATATGGAGAAGGTGTTGGTGATGTTCGGGGCGAAGACAGCGTTTAGGTGTATATGGAGAAGGTGTTGGTGATGTTCACGGCGAGGACAACGTTTAGGTGTGTATGGAGAAGATGTTAGTGATGTTCACGGCGAGGACAGCGTTTAAGTGTATATGGAGAAGGTGTTGGTGATGTTCACGGAGAGGACAGCGTTTAGGTGTATATGGAGAAGGTGTTGGTGATGTTGATGGTGTTGGTGATGTTTACGATGAGGATAGTGTTTATGTGTATATGGAGGAGGTGTTGGTGATGTTGAGCGCGAGGACGGTGTTGGAGAAGTTGGATGATGAGGACAGCGTGATGATGGTGGACAGCGTTTAGGTGTATGGAGAAGGTGTTGGTGATGTTGATGGTGTTAGTGATGTTGATGATGAGGATAGTGTTTATGTGTATATGGAGGAGGTGTTGGTGATGTTGACGGTGTTGGTGATGTTGATGATGAGGACAGCGTTTAGGTGTATATGGAGAAGGTGTTGATCCGTGATGTTGACGGTGTTAGTGATGTTGATGATGAGGACAGCGTTTAGGTGTATATGGAGAAGGTGTTGGTGATGCTGACGATGTTGGTGATGTTGATGATGAGGACAGCGTTTAGGTGTATATGGAGAAGGTGTTGGTGATGTTGACGATGTTGGTGATGTTGATGATGATGATGGCGACGGCGGTGTTAGTGATGTTGATGATGAGGACAGCGTTTAGGTGTATATGGAGAAGGTGTTGGTGATGCTGACGATGTTGGTGATGTTGATGATGAGGACAGCGTTTAGGTGTATATGGAGAAGGTGTTGGTGATGCTGACGATGTTAGTGATGTTGATTTAGGTGTATATGGAGAAGGTGTTGGTGATGCTGACGATGTTAGTGATGTTGATGATGAGGACAGCGTTTAGGTGTATATGGAGAAGGTGTTGGTGATGCTGACGATGTTAGTGATGTTGATGTTGAGGACAGCGTTTAGGTGTATATGGAGAAGGTGTGGAGACGGTAAGGTAGAAATCGTGATGTAATGTCGAAGATAGTGTTGGTGATATGTAATGAGAT